ATAGTTCATATCATAGGCGTCATCATTTATACTATATTTTACATTACATTACTACTATATTTAACATTAATTATATTTTTTTTTATGTGTTCCGCCTCTTTCACAACATCTTTGAACAGATATATTACAATATTATATCTATGCATTATGGGTGTTCATAATTCTTCGGAGAACAGTTCCTGTTCATAAAAATGAAGCATATGGAGAAGTAAATGGAGATTCGGATGGGTGATCGCACATGGATGCATAAAGTTAGTTATCGAATTCATAAAATAAATTTTTTTTTATTATTATTTTGTCAGGTGTATCCTCTGAAATATGATGCAAATCAATAATACTTATTTTCACAATAAAATTTTAATAAAACTTTCTAATTAATGAAATTTTCTCCATCACTATTACGCTAGAGACACTACTTGTCGAATTTACTTGCACTAGTAGTATAGTTTTATGCTGACTAGATCAATTCAAGATTTAAATTTCCAACTCGAAAATTAATCGAAATTTGAGCCAAAAATCTATTTTTACTTTTATTTCCGACATCGAAATGACGTCTTTTCGAGAAATTATTTCTGATTGACTTGTAGCGTTTTAACTTTCTTATTTTTAACAGTTCTTGTTTCTTATATCTATCTTCAATTATATTTATGTTAAACGAATAATGGAGATTTTTTTTAGATTTTCTGACTCTTATTAGCCTTTTATATCTCGTTGTCGTATTTTAAACATTAAGAGTTCTGTTATTTTAAGTTTTTTATGTCACATTATACAGGGTGAGCCATTTAAAATTTAATTTGGCTTTAAAAAAAACGCATGAATATTTTTCAAAGTTTATGGCTTTATTGGAAAGGTACATTGCCATTAAACATGAAATAGAATTTTATTCAAATGACTTCCACGGCTGGCTGCACAATATCCCATTATATCAACTCAATTTTTCAATACATTTTCCACTGTATGAGCGCGTATTTCATCGATAGCAACTTTGATTTCATGTTTTAATTCTTGAATCGTTTCTAGTTAGTGTAACACTCATCCTTGATGGTTCCCCATAAAAAATAGTCCAGCGGAGTCAAATCGCAGTTGCGAGGCAGCCAATTGATATCAGTATTTCGGCTGATTTTCGAAGAAACAGTGCGCAAAAGATCGATTGTAGCGTTGGTTATGTGTCAAAGTGTGCCGTCCTGTTGAAACCAAATGTTGTCTGTGTCCTCCTCTTCAAATTTGGGAAGCAAGAATTCGTTTAGCATGGCGCGATAGCGCTCGCCATTGACAGTGATGGCAGCTCCTTGCTCATTTTCGAAGAAAAATGGCCCAATGATGTCGGACCAAAAACCACACCAAATAGTCACTCGTTGTGGATGCATCGGCTTCTCCATGACGATGTGCGAATTCTCTGACCCCCAAATACGACAATTCTGCTTGTTCACATAGCCACCGAGGTGAAAATGAGCTTCGTCAGAAAAGATGATTTTTTGGTAAAAATGCTCATCTTCAACTAAGCGTTGTTCAGCCCATTGGGCGAACCGAAAACGCATCGGACGGTCATGCAGCTTCAATTCTTGCACTAATTGAACTTTGTACTTCATACCGAGGTCTTTATTCAAAATTCTTCTCAAAGAAGTACGTGAAATGTTCAAGTTTTGAAAACGAGTTGATGTTGATGGTTGTTCAAGCATACTCTGAGCAACAACAACAATGTTTTCGGTTGACCTTACTGGACGAGCACGTGAACGAATTGCTTTATCCAATAAGGATCCAGTTTGCCGAATTCGCTTCACAAATTGATCCACAAACTGTGTTGAAGACATTTCTTTTGTACTAAATTTTCCACGTAAATTTCTAGTTTGGGTTGAAGACTCACCACTTTGGAAGTAAGTTTTCAATATTTCCCAATTTTGTTCAAGCGTATAGCGACTCATTTCGTAAATATCAAACAAAAAACTAAATTTCTGATACGTCATAAATGTTATTACGCCTTTCAAACTCAAAATAATTGGTAGTTGAAATTCCAAACGCTAGATGGCCCACCTGGTACATGCTGATGCTAACTGCGTTGTGCTCTCAGTTGCACATTATACTATTTAAAGTTGTTTTAAATAATATTGAAGGCTGAATTTGAACATATCGAATTCTTTTAAAAATTTTTTTTTAAATTTATATCTTTTTCTTATCTTATTGTTTGTAATTTTATGCCTAACATTCAACGAATATACCACGAGAGAGGATTCCATTAGCGCACAATGCGATACCAGAGTCCAAAGTGCATTCCGTTTCACACATGATGTGCATCATTTATCCTTATTTAATATTCGAAGAATAACAAGAATAAATGATGTACCATGCGTGAAATGGAAGGCAACTCTATTCTCATCGGCCGAGTTAGGTTACCTAGGTCTTGTTCCATCTTTTGGTAAATTTTACATATTAGATAAATCTGGTAATCAGTGCATATGATTGGGTAATCTTGTTACTTTTTCAACAGGTAAAATTTATCAAAAGGTCGAACAATCGGCCCCTAGCTTTTTAAAACAGCGAAAAGTTATCAATTGCTTTATCAATGAGAATATTTTATTTTAATTTGGCTTTTAAATATTTGCATCAATCTAATCTACGTTTTAAATGAATTAACATCGGAGTTTATATTCAAAATAAAAGTGATTTTATTGTCAAATATAAGTTCTATTAATGTGATAAGATACAATGTTTAATTGAACAATCAATGAACTCTAGAATGAATAATAGACATAGCAAACTTCGAGACGACAAGGAACAATATTTTATTCTGATATCAAATTTTCTAATAATAAACTTAAACAATAATACAATAGAAAGGTCTTACCAATATCCTATTAGTAATTATTCTAAATATATCTCCTATCTCTACACGCGTGATAAGTTCATCAAAGTCCAACGGAAAAAAGGAAGGATCACTGAAAGACGAATTCCGATTTCATCTCTTTCATTTATTCGCGCACGCGTATACCAAGATTAATTCGATCGCAATTATTGTTCTACATTGATCAATTAGCGATGTGCGGAACTCTTTCTCATAGATACCATTTTGAACGAATTTAAAGACTATCTGAAATTTATTAATGTGCGTCAAGGAAGAAAACGTTGGCATAAATATACTTCAATGATAGGGAATCGTTTTGAAGAGAACCAAATAAATTTGGATGTGAATAAATTTGTAGTTTGCGTTTTATTCAGGGTTAGGAAGTAACGCCTTACTTGTAACACCGTTTTCGTTACTTTTTTCAGTAATGATCGTTACTTTATTCTATATGTAATGACAACAGTAACATCGTTACATTTTTACAGTAATGGTAATGAATTTAATCGTTACTTTTACCATTACTTTAGTTCCCTATTATTTTTTATTTTATAATTTATTCTTAATTTCTAAACATATTTTGTATTTAATATTTTATACTGTGTTCTATAGACACTGCCAATTCAAAATATAATTCATATTATATATATATTATTATATCTTAAATTTTTACGGTACGGGCAATAAATATTGAAATACACATAATACGTGATACATAAATCAGTGATCCTGACAGAAATAAATCGCTAAAATTATTGAAAATTGCTGAAATCTCTATCAATTGATACATTTCATTATGAATTATATTGAAATGAGTCTATTGATAAAGATTTCACTGATTTATTTCCAGGGAACATTAACGTTTAAAAATAATATTTAATTTATCATCTGTTTAATCTAAATTCTTATAAAAATGAATACATTAAAATAACAATATTAAGAAAATAAAGAATCAATAAAATTGATGGATTTCTAATAGTGAAACTTTAAATATTCTTGACGTATTTAATCTTATCTCAACTTTATGCAATATCCTGTTTGTAAAATATTAAACGAAAATAATGCTCATGAGCAGCATGAATCAAACCATGATTTAGAATGTTCCTTGCCTCTTTTTGATGTCGAAGATCGCCGAGCGACCAAAAATACTGAGAAAGCATTTCATTTGAAACTTGAAACAAGCGACTAGTGTGAGAAGGAGCTCTTGGCGCTCCGAAGAAAACACACTTTGTTTCTCTTTCTATAGAAAAGCGTCTTTTGTAATAATGTTTCTCCGAATGCACCACCTCTCTTCCACCAGACCGTCATTTGATTCATTGTCGCTATCGTCAACGCAGAGTGTTTGGCTAAAATTGAAGTACTCAGAAGTCTTAATCTCAATCCCACAGACCTCGTTAAAAATATATAATATGAAAACTGAAGCACACAAAACACCGATACAAAGTTTTTACGCCAGACAGACAATCTTTATTACAGGTATTTATCAAAAATAATAATAAAATAAAATTTTAGTAAAATTAAAATTATAAGAAAACAATTCAAACGATTCAATATATAAACAATCCAATATATAAACAAGAACTACCAGATATAATATACTTATTAACCATATTAGAAAATAAAATTATAAAACAAAAGTAGGAAAAACAATAAAATTGATAATAGAATTTAATAACATTGAACTTAACAACTTGACTTGAAATTTGAAAATGACTTCGTGTAAGATTGAAACGTATGTCCATCGTAAATTTTGTGATTAAATTCTTTTATATTGTTTTCAATTTTGTATTGTTTTTTTCTACTTTTATAATTTTGTCTTCTAATATTGTTAATAAATATATTATTTTGGCTCGTAGCTCTTGTTTATATATTGAATAATAAAATATTAATATTAGGTTGTCCGGAAAGTTCGTGCCGATGTTGAAAGAAAATTGAAACGCAGAAAATTTAAATTTTAATATACATTTATTAAATTATATAGGATAGTCGGCACGAACTTTCCAAACAACTCAATATTAAGAAGAGAGTCTTGTAAGAGATCTAAAAAAAAATACATTCTTTTTTATATAATTTTTTTATAATCTTAAACCTTCATCAGTACTCTGAAATTTTCGATTATAATTTGGCCGTTAAAAGTCATAGCATATTTTTTATTATTCTGGATTACATAATAACATTGATGTTACGTTGTAATGATGAATATCATGTGATCGATCGTACGTAGTGTGAATCCTACATTTCAAATAGGATTCATTTGAACCCCAAGTAGCTTGCGAGAGACAAAATACTAATATATAACACGAAATTTATATCATTATGTATGCTGATATTAACTGCGTTGTGCTCACAGTTGATTTATACTGTTATACTATTTAAGGTTATTTTAAGTATTGAAGAGTATTGAATTTGTATATATTGAATTTTTTAGATTTTTAAATTTGTATCTTTTTCTTGTCTTATTGTTTGTAATTTTATGCCTAACAACGAATATCATATTCCATGGGAGGATTTCATTAGCGCACAATACGATATCAAAGTCCAAAGTGCATTCCATTTCATGCATATGAATCATTTATTCTTGTTTCGGCAAGTAACAAGAATAAATTATGCATCGTGCGTGAAATGGAATGCATTTTGGACGTCTGGTATCGCATACCCTATTCATGTCGGCCGAATAGGTTATCTAGACTGTCAAAATTTCGCTACAAATGCTTTGATGGACTTTGGAATTAGAAGAAAGAATTTTACAAACTGACCAATTAAAAAACACTTCAAAGCATTTGCAGCATCGCGTTGACCGTACCCTTTATTTTTTAAAGCAGTTACCAACTTTTCGCTGCTTACCAATAAGAATATTTTATTTTAAATTGGCCAATTAGCGATGTGCAGAACTCTTTCTCATACCATTTTGAATGAATAAACGCGATAAAAAAGAATAGCACTGCACGTTTTAAAGACTATCTGAAATTTATTAATGTGCGTCAAGGAAGAAAACGTTGGCATAAATATACTTCAATGATAGGGAATCGTTTTGAAGAGAACCAAATAAATTTGGATGTGAATAAATTTGTAGTTTGCGTTTTATTCAGAGTTGGAAAGTAACGCCTTACTTGTAACACTGTTACCATTTTCGTTACTTTTTTCAGTAACGTCGATCGTTACTTTATTCTGTCTGTAACGATGACGTCGTTACATTTTTACAGCAATGGTAATGAATTTAGCTGGTACTTTTACCGTTACTTTAGTTCTATTATTTTCTTATTTTATAATTTATTCTTAATTTCTTAAAAAATATTTACTAATATAAACTATATAAATACTTAATATTTTATACTGTGTTCTAATAGACACTGCCAATGTTGAAAATATATAATTCATATTACATATATATTATTATACTGTAAATTTTTACGATACGAGCAATAAATATTGAAATACAAATCAGTGATCTTGACAGAAATAAATCGCTGAAATCATTGATTGAAAATTGCTGAAATCAATTGATTCATTTCATTATGAATTATACTGAAATGAGTCTAATGATAAAGATTTTACTGATTTATTTCCACTAGGGAACAATAAAAATAATATTTAAAAATAATATTTAATCTATCATCTGTTTAATCTAAATTCTTATAAAAATGAATACATTAAAATAACAATATTAAGAAAATAAAGAATCAATAAAACTGATGGATTTCTAATAGTGAAAAATTATTCCCATCTCGAATCTCATTTTGCAAATAAGTATACTCGTATAAAGGTAAACGTAACTCTGATATTATACAAACTCTTTTCGTAAGAATGAAATAAAATTTCCTTTAAATCGGTCTTTTATATTAAGTCAAGATTATTATTAAGAATTGTTACAAATTTTAATCTAATCTTTCCGAGAAAATTTATAGGATAAAGATTATTTTAGTCTAGAGTTAAGAAGTTTTCATTTAAAATATTCTTTCTTCAACGATAAATATGATTGTCGCTATGTCAATCCTATTTTATGAGATCAAGGAGTAATAGCATTGAATCCAGAAATTTCTGTGAGTGTAAATTTAATAGAGAGAAAAGTTTGCTCTATATACAAACTATAGTTAATAGAGAGTTTCAAGTTTGAATATTTATTTCACATTTAATATTATATTATCAGCTAATGTAATATTAAAATCTAATAACTTACTTTAGCATTATAAAAAAAGCAATGAATTGTTCCTTTTCAAGAAACGGTAACACCTTACCTTTTTGAAATAATGCGCACAGCCTTGGTTTTATTGGACCCTTTCTGATCACACTAGTATGTTATTTTTCTAATTTGTTTATATTTTGTTTGGTAGGAAGTACAGGCTTTCTTGGAAAAATGTTGATAGAGAAGCTGTTACGAAGCTGTCCTGATATCTCTATGATATATGTGATGATACGTTCACAAAGAGATAAATGCCCCGAAAATCGATTAGATGAAATGTTTGAAAATCCGGTCATTATCTAACACAAACTATATCAAAACATAATATATTTATGAATCATGTTATTTAAATCTATATAATTCACAGCTTTATGACCGAATAAAAAAAGAAGTACCTGATTTTCGCAAAAAAATCATACCAATCATAGGAGATTCCAATATCAAAGATTTGGGATTGTCAGAAAGTGATAGAAACGTGTTAATAAGTAAGGTAATTAAAATTACACTTATTATACTCCCTCGTCTGTATACATTATATTTTAATGTAAAAAATTATTGTATATTTACGTATTACATATTATACATATTATATACCTATACATGTAACATGTTATATACAATGTATCCCAGAATATTTAGAACAATTTTATGCAAATAGAGCGAACTAAATTGAATTGAAAATGTTCTACACTAACTTTTCAATTTTTGAAATAGTTAACAAATTATTAATTATTAAAAATCGTTATATTAGCGTAGCCTATCGCCAAATGCAAGCGCACGAGATGCAGCCATGTGTGATGACCGCCCAGCGACCGAATAGTTACGTACGCGACAAGTTGTTTTTACTATTAATAAAGTATTCAGTAATATCGATCACTGTGCGACTGCATCTCGCTGTGCGCTTGTGTTTGAGGGTAAGTCAGGCTAATATGATGATTTTTAATAATTAATAATTCATGTATTTGCTGAAATGATCGGCCGAATATGTGCTTATTCGGTGATCTTTAGAAATTAATATCTCGTTAATTATTGCGAAAATTGAAAAGTTGTAAAGGACTTTCCCAAATATTTTGGAACCTATATATATATACATATTATATATGGACCATTCAATTTATTCAGTTGATTTTCTCGAAATCTATAAATTTGAAGCAAAAATGTTTCAAAATTTTATGGTTTCAAAAGGAAAAGGATTTGGTGAAAAAAAAATTTTTTATTAGATATTCTTATAGCTGTCTTCAAGACCTCTTTTGAAAACATATAATAAAGTTCATTTTTTGATAAGAATTTTTTTGACAACTTTTCGGAAAAAGAATTCATTTTGCTGAAAATGAATTCAGAATTGATGACTGATCATTGAATTTTTTTTTAATTCTGTGCTATCTGGGATAATTATCAATAAAGAAATAAATTCTCTCTTTTTTCTATATTTCTATTATACTTAAAATACTTATACTTAAAACACTATTATACTTAAAATGTGTAACGATTATTATTATTATTAGGTATCTATAATTTTTCATGTAGCAGCGAATATGCAATTCTATGAAAAGATCAAAATTTCTACAATAATAAACATTGATGCTACTGCTACCGTCTTAAAACTTGCAAAACAGATGCCAAATTTGAAGGTAATTGATCTAATAATATGTTTTAGCAACAATTAGTAAAAATTATTAAAAATATATATAATTAAAATA